AACATCCAATAATCATAAGAAAATAGAGAGGAGTACAAACAGCAACACAAAGATTACCTCGACGTGCCCCCAGGCGAGGAGACAGATTTCTTATTCTTCTTTGAAGAGTTTTTCGAACCCTTTTTCTTTTTCTCTAGAGAGTCTCTAGCCTTAATAGCCAACTGATTAACAGTTTCCCTTTCGGTGGAATTCAGAGTTTGTGGGCTTGTCAGGATTGGTGACATCAACTCCTTATCAGTTCGTTCCCCATCTGTATCACCTCCCATTGCGTCAATATCTACATTCAGCTCATGACTATTAACGAAAAGAACCTGGTTCACCGTCGCACAATCAGATGTATTGGAGATGGCTAAACTTTGATCTGAAGCAGTACTTGTACCCCCCTGCTCCTGCTTCATGTCTCCTTGTGAACTCTTCAAAACAAGAGGAGATGTAGGATTTTCATCTTCATAACAATCAGCATTGCTCACATCTGATGCAGCCTTCTCATTGATATTACAATCAGAAATATTTGTACCAGATGTCGAACAACCATTCTCATTACAGTTACGCACTTTAGATGCCAAAGTGCCATTCTCACCACTCACAGAACCCTTATTTCGTTTAGCAACTACCTGCCATTGAAACTGATTCTGCTGTTTATCCGCAGATTTAGAGTTCGCAGCTCCTAGTTTCCTCTTACCCTCTGCCTCCATTGTAAGATTTGCACCGTTATTAGTAGCACATATCGTTGTCGTGTGTCCAAAGACATTACAATTATTGCACTTTGATGGTATCCATTCGTAATCAGCTGAAATTGTTATGAATAATCCATTGGGACAGCGAAGGTCGTATTCCTTAACCAGCATCTTCGTAGCATCAATCTCAACACAAACTCTTGCGTAGCTAAGCCTTTGACGCAACAATGTAGTCTGATCAGCATGAAGAGGAACCCCAATAGCACTCGCTACACAACTCAACCCCTTAATAGTCCAATACTCAAGAGGAACATTATACAGCCTAACCCATACCGGAACTTTGACCAAATCACCTTTCAAAAATTGCATGTTCGGTTGCCAACGTTTAAGCACCAAAGGTCTGCTTGCCATGTGCCATGGGGCTCTTTCCAGCACATTAGTGGCATGATCAACAGAATCAAAAGTGAATAGGAAGAAACCATTATCCGAAGATAAAACTTCTGATAGACCGTAGGAGCCCCAGATTCTTTTGGCAATAGAATTAACAACGGGATATGGTAATTTCTGACCCACAAAATGACCAACTAGGATGGATTTCCAAAGTTCGCAGCCATCCTCAAACACATCAAGTGGAGGAGCTACTGTCACACGACCATCAGTCATAGCAGGGGGAGCAAAATGCAGATTACGAACTAGAGAAATACCAAGGTTCTTGGTACCCTCATTGTTATCAACATCAGAACCCTTCAAAGCATTTAAAAAATTCAATTTGGGGCGATGATTTTGCTGGTCTTGTTGCTGAGACCCTACCTTCAACTCATCAACTTTAGAACCCAACACATGATTCATTTCTGAAACAACATTTGAAGCTTGGGAATTAGAGTGTTTCTTCTCTATGCTAGCTTCAGAATCAGCTTGATAAACATTAGTAAACTGAGAAATCCTCATCCCATGGCTGTTCAACATATCTTGTAGCTCTAATCTTAATGTATGTCCAGACTTGACTTCATTGTGTTGTTCATTGTTAGAGGTAACCATTGGAACAGAATCCACAGCAGAACATAAGGACATTATGGCAGCATACAAATACTAGAGATACCAAATTCTAAGAAGAGAAACTGAGTCTAAGACGTAACCTAAGCTCAGAAACAACAACAATGTAATCTCAGAAACAACAAGATTCAGATTTGTTCATGAAGGGAGAAGAGAATTACAGAATTACGAGGCCAGTATCTTCGAGATTATTGATTGGAATGATGATCCGTGCGGTCAAGCTATAGAGTATATTCTGATGAACAACATACTAAAAAATGGTGACGATCCAACGACGAACAAAGAAGATCAAGCTTCAACAAAACCCAATTCACTCTGCTGCAACTAAAAATGCAGAACAGTAGAAATATTACGAGATCAATATCTCCCACCTCGTTGATTGGAATGAAGATCCATTCGGTCAATGTTTCAAGAAGGCTGGAATGAACAACATAGTAAGAAATGAGGATGATCCAACGGTGGACGGAGTAGATCTAGCTCCGACAGTTTGATTTCTAATCTTTCTCTCTCTCCAGATCTCTCTCTCTCCAGATCTCTGTGCTAGTATAATTTTTCAGATCAATATACTTCTTTGTTACACTTATTGTGTGTTGGTGGGATAATCTCCCTTGGTTTTCTAAAAAACTGAAAACAACTTCTTATCTATGTTCCAGCCACATTACCATGTTTTCCTACGTTCTCAAGTCTGTCACACACGTTCCCCATCACGTAATTTATTTTTTCCATCATCTTTGTCATGGCTTGCATTTAGAACTTAAGTTCTATATTTGGAGTGGATGGTGTGTTGGTTTGATCTGGTATGATAGTACTTGCAAAAATTGGTTAGTGGTGAAAAATCCTCATATCGCTCGTGTCTCGCTTAAACACTCTTAATATCCTAACACACTTACACCTCTTGTCTCACTTTCTTGTGATTCTTTCGAAAATAAAACCAACACCAAATGGAACCAACTTCGCAGCGCAATCCAAATATATATATATATATATATATATATATATATATATAAACTCAAGAAGCAATAAAAAAAAAGCAAAATAAAACTTCGATGATTGTCTCACGAGCAACAACACATCTATTCAAAATATGAATGAAACTGAAGATTTGAATAAAAACATAAATCATATATGCAAAAAGATGAAACAACACCTATATATGTTGGATATGTTGAAAATACATTGCAAGAAATGAAAACAACATAAAGAAAACGAACTTCAAAAGTTGATGCAAAACAGATTCATTCATGACGAGTTAAATTTGAATTTGGAACCCAAAGCAAATGATGTCCAATTGAGCTAAACTTTCAGTTATAGTGTGATTTCAACCGAAATAGACAAAATATAAAATTTGAGAAATTTACGATAAAGTTTGATTAGACCTGAAATTGATAACCAAAGGAAACGATATCCAATTAATCCCTAAATTAATATTTAGTGCGATAAGGACCCCAGTAATCATCAAATCAACTTTGAGCTAATTTTGAGTTGATTTGATCTAATTTTCCCTTGCTTAGTTTTTTGCGGTAGAAACCAATAAACATCTTTTTGAACAATTTTTTTTCTTTTTTCTTTTTTGTTTTATGCTACTGATATATTTTGGATAGTAACAGAATGAAATAACCATTTTTTTTTATATGCCATAAATTCAAGAAGAAGAAGAAATTGGACACTACAGAATTTTTGCGAAAACAACAAGAAACAAAAATTTCATAAGGATATAACCTAATTAATGGAGCCAAGTTTTGATACCAAATGATGTAAACCTCCTGGTCATGTGGTCACACAACCCACACGCAAAGACATCAATTCCTAGAAAGCGAAGTAAATCAGGTTTGATAAGAGTGTGACACAAATATAACTTGTATCTAGGCGCCATCACTATTGAAAATGAAAAACCCCTACCCAATAAATATTGATTCAGGAACGAGAAGTATAAGGATGACGCCACGAAGCTAGTTGTTCTTCGATAAGTCATTTTTAGTTTTTTAAATAACCAAGAAAGGAAAATTATCCCACCAATACACAACAAGTATGTCAAAAGAAGTTTATTGATCTTAAAATTATGTAACCTTACATGTCTGGATAAGTCATTATTTATACTAACTCCAAACTAAAAATAAACCTTAATTGACCCCTTTTAGGTAGACTTATATGAGATCCACTTTCAATTGACCCAAATAAGTAATAATAACCCAAAAACTAAGAAGAATATGATAACAATAATAATAATAATAATAATAATAATAATAATAATAATAGTAAATTAAAAATTACAATCCTAAATATGTTAGAATCAGATTTGTTATCCTTAAAAAATTCCAAATAGACTAGGAAATCCAATTTGAAGGTAGAATTAATTCTGAAGTGTTCTTTCCTTATTGCAGCTAAAATGAATAAGGAAGCTTTGTAAGAAAATAATTTTAAAATATTTATGAATCATTGCCATACTTGAAAACTATATTACAGCCCAAAAAAGATTTTTGTAAAACTAGGAGATTTCCAAAACAAGTTGTCATTTCCTTGTAGATTTTTGAAAAACCCCTACAAGGAAATGACAACTTGTTTTGGAAATGGATCCTTGCCAAATAAAAATTTCACAAGTCAAAAGAAAGTAAATAATAAAATTTATACAGTCTCTATTAACTCATATTACAATGCCTTTTTGAACTTTAATCGACCTCAAATTTTAACCCAAAATAAAATAACATGTCAAGAGACTCCACGTAAACTTTTAGCCCAATCCAACAATCAGATTGAAAATTATAATTATTGTCATAAAACTAGATAGTTACATATTTTATATTAAAATCCAAATTCCTTGAATCGTATCATAGAGGCTCGAATATCTTTTGACTGGACTCACTAACATTGCCATTTAAAAGGGTATTTTCATTTAGGAACACCATTTGAAAAAAATATATATTAGCCAAATAGAAGAATTGTTTTTCATGAAATAACACACTTAGATACATATTGCAATTGAAAAAAAAAACACATTTAAAGTTATCAACTTGATCATTGCACCAGACTTTAATTTTTAGTTCACATATTTACTTGAGGTTTTTATTACTCAACTAGGGTTACATTTGCATGAGTTAATAATAGAGACAACCTTAATATACAAGGGTTTTTCATTTTAAAATTTCAATATTTAAGTCCTTCATTCTTCAAACTTTCCTCCCCATTACTCAATCATTGTTACAATGTCACCAGGTATTCCAATCAAGTAGGTGAAACGAAATAACATTTCAAGATGTGAGCATGAAAGCCTACAAATCAGAATTTCAACTACATAGCAGATACAGAAAATAGTAATTTCAAAAGAGAGTTGTTATATGACAGACTTCAGTCTTGAGAATTGACTGCAAATAGGAGCTTAGCATTCAAATCCGTGGGCATATAAACAGATACAAACATTGAATCAACATAAATGGTTTCAATCCTTGTAGTCTAGACTCTAGAATATAAGTGCCTCATAATTTATGGGATTTACTGAGTGCCTCCAGCCCATAAAGTAAACATACCACAACGTGTTAAATGGAACCGTGCGAAGGAGAAAAAGGAACCACTTCAATGAGCAATGCGCAACCCACCCTTGAGAGAAGGAAAAGGAAACACATAAGAATCTGCCCAACAAAAGCAACACATCAGTTCACTGTTTTCTGCGACTTGATATTAGATAGCATTCTATTCCCAAGTGACAGTAGCTAGAAAGCTAATATATGGAGAAGCATGGCTCCCAACTTGGTGAAAGGGGTTATATATTATTTCAACAGGTAATGACCAATTATGAGGTTGAATGATAGGAGCAGAAGTAAGCTGGCCCGAAGAAATCTCATCAATATGGGTGCAACAAGATGTCCTTTCTACAGTAGATTTACTGAATCAACATTACACCTTCGCCTCCACTGTCATTGCTCCTGGAATTTTTGGTCTAGAGTAATTCAACGGTACGGAGTTTCAACCACAATCTCTTATAGATTTCTACCGTCAATGGCTAAGCTACAACTCAGGGAGGTTAGTTTTCTCTGCAACCTTGTGGACTGGCAAAAAATAATCTAGTGTTCAATGGCGTGCAACCGAATTGACCATCTCCTTCTTAATTCGTTTGTATAGAATTTCAGTTTGGATTCAAGCCATACAAGAGAGTTTCACATATACAATGTATGCTTTGACTAAAGGATCATAAGTTACTAAATTGTGGACCAAACCTGCTAACAACCACATGTTACTATGGTCTGATTTTTAGCTTCAAGCTTGTACTTAATCTTAGTTAGTCATAATCTGTATGACTGACTTTCTTTTATTAACAATGCTCCCTCTCAAAAAAAAGAAGATGAAAGAACATTGGTATTTTTCTTAAAGGTGCATGTTGTTGAAGTGATGTTCACAAAGCAGGAAAAATTGACACCCAAGACCGGCTTCAGTACATAATTTATCCTTGTTTAGCTTCCAGCTCAAATGGACTTAAAAAGACAAGGTTTGTTAACCGAATTCTGCATAGAACAAACGAGACTTTGGATATGATAGATCAATAATTCAAGATTGAGTTCAGAAGTCCAAACATACAGTTTTTAAAACTTCATCAAAATTCAACAAACCCTTCAATAAACGACCTAGCAGCATTCTCCAGAAAAAGAAAAAGAAAAAGGAAAGGAAAAGGAAAAGAACGCCTAGCCAAAAAATCAAGCTAGGTTACCTGAATAAATTTAATCTACCTTATAATATATCAGATACAACTTGAACGAATAATTGCAGAGCTCATTTGCTTGAACTTAAAATATTTAATCATGTACATAATATAGAATATGACTAATCCCATAATTTATAGTTTCTTTTCAATTTTCCTTGACAGGATATTAATATACCCGATTACAAATATTAAATTATAATTTAATCCAGGCAGAAGTGATTAAAGGAATATCGATTAAACTAAAAAACAAGGAAAACAATGTAAAGGGAAAACCTTTTTCAAGAAGAAGAGTGTTTGCCCTCACACTGAGGACTCTCGTCAAAATTCTTGGAAGGATATTTAGCAGTAATCATCCCAACTTCAAAAACCAAATTGTCTCCGCTAGAACTAATCCCCGTTATCGACCACCATTTAAAAAAAGCCCGAACCCGGATCCCATCCAGTTCCGCGATCCGACCCTCAACAATCTTCCCACTAACCCTTTTGGAGTACATGGCTAAGTAATTGTCAGGAGGGAGCGTGATCTTACACGCGCCACCAAGTTCAACGGAGAATTCGCCAGAAGTCTGGTTGAAAGTGTAGCTTTTTACGGAGGAAGGGAGGAGCCCGATTGGGAAGCCGTAGTTTGTGAGCTCGGTGTGGGCGGCAGTTGGGGGTTTCTGTTTTTCTAATTGAGAGGTAAAGGTGATTAGTACGAAGATGAGAGAGATGAGAAAGAAAAGCTTGGTCATTATGATTTTTTATTTATTTTTTAATCTTTTTGGATTGATTTTAAATTGAAGGTTTTGGGTGCTAGATCAGAGATTTTCTTTTCTTTTCTTTTCCCGTGGATTGTTGGTTAAGAGGAAGAAGATAAACGAAAAGGATGTCATCGTGGATGATATTTGACCACGTAAACCGGCAACAACGCGTCCCTTTTGGTGGTGTTTTGGTATTATAGTAATATTTGATTTTAAAATTTTTTTTTTTTTTAATATTTTTTTTAAAATATATCTTTTATATTATCATATTAAAATGATTTTAAAAAATTAAAAAAATTATTTTTTTTTGACAAACATGTCCAAGCTAAAATACCAAATAGATCCTCTATTATAAAGCTTCATTATTATTGGATATGTGGCAGCTGTTAACTCTGAGTTTTGTTTTATGTTATAACAAACTCGATCAAAAGCTTTGATAAATGAAATTTTATAAAATCCTAAACAAACTTTAATAAGAAAGATAAGGTGATATGAACTTCGTGATTACATTGTTACATAACCTATAATTAAAATTGAGATTTGATCTCGAAAAGCCGAAAAAGATTCGATAGGAGTGTGAGATAATGAAAATTTATTCCAAAACACTAATATTATTGAAATAAAGTCGAATGACGCCACAAAGCTAGTTAATCTTCAATAAATTAGATTTAGTTCGTTTAAGAATAAAAAAATACAATAATCTCTCTCACATGTTAAAAATAAAAAATTCAGAAGTGTTATTCATTAATGACTACTGAAATTTAGGCTTCCATGTGTTTAAATAATTTTAAAAAATTAACCATAATGGATCTAACCTTGGGGGCTGAATTGATCCATATATAAAAACTGGCTCAAAATCTTTACTAGTAATTCCAAGCTATGATCCAAACAAGCCTTGGATCCTAGCTAAAAACAAAATATTTGTCAAGCCCAAACAAGCTTTAGGTTCCAGCTAACAAAATAAAAATAAAGCTCATAAGTTCTAAATCTTCATATGCCATGAGACGCGAAGAAGAAAAGAAAACATTATAGGTGAGACACAAGACTTATTTATATAGCTTATAAAGCTGTTTAATAATCCAGGAACTAAAATAACAATTGTTGCCTTTTTTGTTTTCAAGTTAGAATAGAATTCTGATCTCGTCCTTGTATTTATCCTTATTTTGGAAGGAAAAGAAAGTTGCCTTTAATGATCTTCTTTGCCATCTTTATAAGCATTGTCATTGATCCTCTCAAGGATCTGAAATGGCCCATCTCCTTGTGGTTGTAGCTTTGATTTCTCTAGGCCAGAAATATCTCCTTGCGCATATGCACCCAAACCCAATCGCCAGGCTGAAAGACAACATGTTTGTGCCCCTTATTGGCTTTGGTCGCATACACGCGATTCCTCTTTTCAATCTGTTGCCGCACACTCTCATGAAGAGTTTTCACCACCTGTGCTTTACTATTACCATCCAAGCTAACCCTTTCATCAATAGGCAAAGGAATCAAATCCATTGGAGTTAAAGGGTTAAATCCATACACAATTTCAAATGGTGAAAATTCAGTAGTAGAGTGCACACTACGATTATATGCAAACTCTATAAATGGCAAACAATCTCCTCAATTCTTTAAGTTCTTTTGAATGACAACACGCAAAAGTTGTGTTAAGGTCCTATTAACTACTTCGGTTTGTCCATCTGTTTGGGGGTGACAAGTAGTTGAAAACAACAGTTTAGTACCCATTTTTCCCCATAACACCTTCCAAAAATAGCTAAGGAACTTAACATCTCTATCAGAAACAATGCTCTTAGGGACCCCGTGAAGTCGTACTATGTCTCTAAAGAACAAATCAGCAATGTTAGTTGCATCGTCAGTTTTATGACATGGAATGAAATGTGCCATCTTTGAAAACCTATCAACAACTACAAAGATGGAATCCCTCCCCCGTTTTGACCTAGGTAAACCCAAGACAAAGTCCATCGAAATGTCTACCCAAGGTTCTTTCGGTACAGGCAAAGGGGTATACAAGCCATGCGGTTGAGTCCTAGACTTTGCTTTCCTACAAGTTATGCATTTATCACATATGCGTTGCACATCTTTTTTTATTTTAGGCCAATAAAAATGCTCATGCAACACATCCAAAGTCTTAACAACACCAAAATGCCCCATCAACCCGCCTCCATGTGCTTCACGTACAAGCAATTCACGCATAGAACTTAATGGAACACACAAACGACTCTCTTTAAACAAATATCCATCAAGTCTATAAAACTTTCCAAAAGCTGAAGTTTCGCAAGCATTGTAAACATTAGCAAAATCACTATCATCCTTGTACAATTCTTTTATGTGTTCAAATCCTAGAAATCTAGCATCCAAAGTAGATAAAAGAACATACCTGCGTGAAAGTGCATCAGCCACAATGTTTTCTTTCCCTTGCTTATACTTGATCACATACGGAAATGTTTCAATAAATTCAACCCATTTGGCATGTCTCCTACTCAATTTACCTTGCCCTTTCAAGTGCTTCAATGATTCATGATCAGAATGTATGACAAACTCCTTACGCCACATGTAATGTTGCCACGTCTCTAAAGTTCTTACCAAGGCATAGAGCTCCTTGTCATATGTAGGGTAATTCAAGGTTGCCCCATTAAGTTTTTCGCTGAAATATGCAATGGGCCTCCTATCCTGCATTAACACAGCTCCTATTCTGATACCTGACGCATCACATTCTACTTCAAAAGCTCTTGTAAAGTCTGGCAAAGCTAAAACAGGTGCCGAACAAAGCTTATCCTTCAACAATTTAAAAGCCTCATCTTGTGCATCATTCCATTTGAATCCAACAGACTTTTTCACAATTTCAGTTAAAGGTGCAGCAATAGTACTAAAATCCTTCACAAACCTTCTATAAAAACTAGCAAGTCCATGAGAACTCCTTACCTTACTTACTGATTTTGGTGTAGACCAATCTCGAATGGCTTTAACTTTCTTCTCGTCCATCTCGATACCCTGTGCAATAACGACATAGCCAAGAAACACAATTTTTTCCATGCAAAAGGTACACTTCTTAAGATTAGCATATAATTGCCTACTATGCAACACACTAAGTACATTACGCAAATGATCAAGATGCTCATTTAAGTTCTTGCTATAGATCAAAATGTCATCAAAATACACAGCAACAAACTTACCGATAAATGCACGCAAGACATGATTCATTAAACGCATAAACGTGCTAGGCGCATTTGTAAGTCCAAACGGCATGACTAACCATTCATATAAACCATGCTTAGTCTTAAATGCAGTTTTCCACTCATCACCCTCTTTCATCCTAATTTGATGGTACCCACTTTTTAAGTCAATCTTAGAGAAAATACATGATCCATGTAACTCATCTAGCATGTCATCAAGCCTAGGAATAGGATGTCGATACTTTACCGTTATGTTATTGACAGCACGACAATCAACACACATCCTCCATGTTCCATCCTTTTTAGGCACAAGTAGCACTGGCACAGCACAAGGACTCATACTCTCACGAATGTACCCCTTCATCATCAACTCATCTACTTGCCTTTGAAGCTCCTTCGTCTCCTCGGGGTTGCTTCTATAGGCTGGACGGTTAGGAATTGAAGCTCCGGGCACAAGATCAATTTGATGTTCAATCCCCCTTAATGGTGGTAATCCATTAGGGATGTCTTCAGGGAATACATCATCAAACTCCCGCATCAAAGAAACAACCACACTAGGAATAGCAGAATCAAGATCGTTAGTGTTAAAATAAGCCTCCTTATACACAAGTAAGATCATTGGCTTATTAGTAAAAAATGCAGATCTGATTTGAGATCCTTTTGCATAAAAATTAGGTTGTTTCATTAATTTTTTTTTGGTAAGTTGACGTATGTATTAAAAGAAAAGGATACAAAGATTATAAGGAGCATACCCCAGATTTACAATGAGAACATAAACGTAAAATAACAGATGGTTACAGCCTAGCCACATAATAGAAAACTGAGACCTAACTAGATTCGTGATTCATAAGCCTCATAAATGTACTAGGCGCATTAGATAACCCAAACGGCATTACCATCCATTCATATAACCCCTGTTTAGTTTTAAATGCTGTTTTCCATTCATCTCCCTCTTTCATTCTAATTTGGTGATAACCACTCATCAAATCGACTTTAGAAAACAATGCAGCACCATGCAACTCATCAAGCAAATCATCAAGTCTGGGTATAGGAAATCGATACTTAACTGTTATTTTGTTGATAGCACGGCTGTCCATACACATCCTCATGGTACCATCTTTCTTTGGTACAAGCAAAGTAGGTACGGAACATGGACTAAGTGATTCTCGAACATAGCCCTTCTCTACAAGCTCACCAACCTGCCTTTGAATCTCTTTTGCTTCCGCTGGATTACATCTGTATGCTGGTCTATTAGGAAGTGAAGCTCCCGGCACCAAATCAATTTGATGCTCAATTCCACGAATAGGCGGTAACCCTTTAGGTAATTCATCTGGAAACACATCTTTAAATTCTTCTAGCAATTCCTTAATCTGTGTTGGTAAGTCCAGTCCTTCTACTTGTAGCAATTGCTTTGCCCAGATCATGAAAACAACCCCCGTCGAAGCTAATGCCTGTTTGATATCGCCTTTTTTGGCTAACAACAGCCCCTTACGTGATTGCACCTCCTTTTGTTGGCTTCGTAACTGATCCTCTCTAACCTGTTGAGAACTCAATGGTAACAAGTTCACCTTCTTTCCATTCAGCATGAAAGAATAAGTGTTCTTTCGTCCATTGTAGGTCACATCCTTATCAAACTGCCATGGACGACCCAGTAACAAATGGCTAGCTGACATCGGCGCAACGTCACACAAAACCTCGTCATGATAGGTTTTAATGGAAAAGGGCACAAGAACTTGCTTTGTCACCCGAATCTCCCCATTCTCATTCAGCCATCGCAAACTATACGGTCTGGGATGTGGAATGGTAGTTAAGCCCAATTTCTCCACCAAGGTAGTTGACGCAACATTAGTGCAACTTCCATTATCAATGATCATCCCACACACCTTATCTCGAATCTGACATCGAGTATGAAAGATGTTCTCACGTTGCTCAGCACTAACATCAACTTGTGCATTTAGAACCCGT